TATAGAGCCCCCCCCCCCCCCCCTTCCCAAACATCCCAGCTTCTTCTGCTTGAATATAAATATGGCAGCTGTCCGGAATAATTTAAGAACTCCTTACAAAGCAATAATGAGACCAGTGAAGGAATGCAGTTGAAATTATTTTCCTCAAGATATCTGGGAAATCTATCTGTGCCATGCTATCACAATGCATACCTTGTAGTCTGTCATTTGAACTTGTCTTGTGAGTTTAGTGGTGCTTTACGTTGATGTATTTGTGTAATCTGACACAGTGTGTTTTATGCACATTACATTTAAGAAGGTATGTGTCTTGTTTGTCGAGTGCTAATGTGGATTTTGTGGTCTAATTTGGCTTCTTTACTCTCCCCGTTTGTTTCATCCCTCTGCCTTTGCCTTGCCCTTCTTTCTCCTTTTTTTTTTTTCAGTGAACAGATTTTGGTGAGAATCAAGTTGTGAACGCAGTGCTTATGATCAAGCAACATGTCTGCCACTAACTAAACAAGATGTTGTTATTATAAATTAAAATACTTTTATTGCTTGTCTATTCAAATAATTTTTCAAGTTTGAGTTTTCATAAAGGGCAATGTTGTTTTTATATACATTCGATTATTAAAAATATATAGACTTTTTAAGATGTCATTTAAAACCAAACACTAAAATGTGTAAAATGTATCCTCTTTAGACACACAGTGACGTTGAGCAACATTGCTTGAGATTATGCTGAGCATCCTTGCAGCTGGCTCCATATTCTTCCCAGGCCTCTTCCTGCTGTCCAAGCGATTCCTGAAACATGCTCCTGGGCTCAAATGGAGCGAGAAGGATGCTGTCATCGTCTCGTCCAGGTAAATAAAGGCAAGAGAAAGTGAGACATGTTGAAAGGTGCTGTCAGGCTCAAGCTACCTGGTTTTATTTACTTGTGTATCTGTGCTCTTTTTGTTTTTGAAAGTGAAAGTCATAGCAGTGGATTCATAATTGTATTTTTGTGTGATTATTAAGCATCAGTTAAAAAGGATAACTTGACAAACCAGTTATTGTTTAGTTGTTGTACTGTATCAGTCAATGTGACTTTTTGAATAATATATATGTAATACGCATAAAATAAAATATGCATCAATAAAATTGACACTTGCTGAGATAAACACTTATTTTACAAATAAATTGTTAAAGTTACTATATATATATATATATATATATATATTAGGGCT